TAATCAGAAAGCAAAAGTGGTCTGAGAGGCGTCAAATTTTCATAGGTAATTCCTTATAAGGAACACAACCACACCCTTAAGTTTTATTTCGGACTTTTGTAACACCCTGTATAATACAAGCCATTGAACAAAAAATATAGTTTACACTATAGCTCTACACCGAAGCAAAGCGAGGACGGGCCACTAGTACATAATAATTACTAATAATAAATACAAATTAATTCATTATTTTTTCTCCTTTTTTTAATAATAAATTTCTCGAAAATAAATGTTTTTAAAGTGTTCGAAATGATATCAGCCAAAGGAACCTGATTATAAAGATTGCATAAAACAAAGGCATAAATGTTTACACACGCTCAACGATTCCATATGCAGTTATCATATTATTGATTTCATGTCTTTATATTAAGAATTACGTGGCAATAAATGATATTATTATTTGTATGATATAACAATAAATTAAATACATTTACTTAATTCTTATAAAGATTCTGTGGGCGTGATAGATTGTGCGTGGGTGTGGAATGGCGGTGCTAATTGTTTTAAATGTGAAAACGACCACGGTAACGGCGGGGCGGGGGGTGCGAAGAATCTCCGGGCTACGGGAGGCCACCACAATAGACTGACCCTGGCAACGTACAACGGACTCGCGCTACGGCTTGACTCGCACTGGCGCAACTCGAGGTGGAACTTGGAAAGATTGGGTGGCACATTTTAGGATTAAGTGAACTCCGAAGAGAGGGGGAGGACACCATAACCCTTGAATCGGGGCACCTAATGTACTTCCGCGGAGGAGACCTCCGTGGTCGAGTGGTTTGTACGCCGGGTTGCATGGTGTCGCCGACTCGAGAGGTCCCGGGTTCAAATCCCGGTGGGGGCAGATGTTTGTGTGATGAATACGAGCATTTGTACTCCAGTCATGGATGTTTAATATGTATTTCTATAAAAAAAAAATATACTTATATATGTACAGTTTATGTATTCTATCCGTTACCCTAGTATCCCATAACACAAGCCTTATAGTGCTTACTTTGGGGCTAGGCTAATTGGTGTGAGTGTTAAAAAAATAAAAAATAAGACCAACAGTCCCAAGGTGGCGTTGGGTTTTTGGTAAATAAGGCCCTTACCGATAACGTTGTGGAAATATCCAGCGTGTCGAACAGGATAGTGAACCTTATTATAAAGCACACTGAGAGTGTACGCACCGACCTCGACACACTCGGACGACGAAGTGGAGGATATGTTCGATGATATATCGGGGGCCCTCCACTCCACTACTAAGACCCACTACAACGTTGTTATGGGGGACTTCAACGCTAAAGTGGTAGTACAGAATTGCAGCGAATCGGTAGTAAGATCCCATAGGTTTGGAAGCAGAAATCATAGGGGGCAAATGCTCGTCAACTTCCTCGAACGGGAGGGGCTCTACTTGATGAATTCTTTCTTCAATAAACAGCCCCAAAGGAAGTGGACGTGGCAAAGCCCCGACACTTCTAAAAATAAAAATGAGATCGATTTCATCATAACGAACAAGAGGTACATATTCAGAGACGTGTCCGTGATCAACAGGTTTAATACCGGTAGTGATCACCAACTCTCTGAATATTAACTTTAAGGCCGAGCGCGTCCGTTTGATGAAATCCAGGCTCCGACTTACTCTGCTCCAATCTATAACAGGATCTGAAACATTCCAGTCAAATCTGAAAAACCGAATTGCTGCCGTGGAAACCACATCAGACGAAAGAGGGTACGAAATTATGTGCAATGCAGCGTAAGGGCAGGAAGTCAAAGCTTTCGGAAGAGATTTTAGGGCTTATGAGGAAACGACGTGAAAATTCACCCGTCTCGTCGTCGGCAAAGCGGACTTAAAACCAAGAGATCAGTAAGCACGTACGACACGACCTCAGAATCGAGGGTCCAAAGTGTTCTCACAATCTCTTGGAAGAAGCCATCTGACGAAGTTGACCACAGCAAGTGGGAAAGTTGTTACTTCAAAATCAGCAGTCCTTTCGGAAGTAGAAGACTTCTACGGCCAGTTGTACGCATCACATACATCGTGACCCGATCCCGGAAATGAGGATTCTAGAGATGTGGCTCTAACACGCCACTTCACCGAAGACCTGCCAGAAGTCAGTATTGGCGAAATCGAGATTGCTCTTGGGCAGCTTAAAAATGGGAAAGCCCCTGGAGAGGATGGTGTTACAACAGAACTCTTAAAGGCTGGAGGTAAACCCGTACTGAGGGAGCTCCAAAAGCTTTTTAACACTGGCCTGTTCGAAGGGAGAACTCCGGAGGTGTGGAGTAGGAGGGTGGTCGTCTTGTTCTTTAAAAAGGGGGACAAGGCCCTACTTAAGCACTATCTACCCATATCCCTTCTGAGCCACGTCTATAAGCTGTTCTCAAGAGTGATCGCAAACAGCATTGCGCAAAGACTTGATGACTTTCAACCACCGGAACAGGCTGGATTTCGGGGCGGATACGGCACCATAGACCACATTCCACACAGTACGGCAGATTATACAGAAGACTGAAGAATACAATCAGCCCCTGTGCCTAACATTTGTGGACTATGAGAAGGCCTTTGACTCGATTGAAATCTGGTCTGTCCTGGAGTCCCTGCAGCGTTGCCAAGTCGACTGGCGATACATCCAAGTGATTAGATGCCTCTACGAAGCCACCATGTCTGTCCAAGTACAGAATCAGCAAACAAGTCTTATACCGTTGCATCGTGGAGTGAGACAAGGGGACGTTATTTCCCCGAAACTGGAGGCCTACTCTATTTCAACGAAAAACGAAATTTCGATCGAAATTTCGCACGTTCCTTACTCTGTTTCCTTTTCATTTCGAAAGTTCGTTCGTCCGAAATAGTTTGACAATTAAATTCTCTAAGCCTACTCTAATTCACAAAAATTTCGAAGGAAAAGTTGAATTTGACAGATAATTGTTCGAAATTTTAACCTCAAATTGACGAAATGAAAAGTGTTACCTTTTCATTTTCGTTTTGAGATTTTTGTTTTAATTAAGCCTGAAATACTTGCAAGAGTATTAATATAATAATTGCTGCTTAGCTCGAGAAACATTTTAGCATGTAAAATTAACAAATAAACCATTTTTTTATTATTCATTGTAATTTCAATACTTCAAAGTATTAAACGACAAATTTAGGTTGACATACAGTAGATTGTATCGACTCTACATATTAGTCGGCTAACACTGTCAAAGAAGGTTCTTTCAATGTCATCAAAAAATTTGCCGTAAACTGCCTATATTGTTTCCAAGTAAAAAAACGTTTTCTTAAAAGTAGAGATAAAAAGAACTCACAAACATGACTCATTCCATTCGTTCACGAAAACTGTTTATGGTTCCGAAGTTAATGTGCCTGTTCGAAAATGAAATAGAGTAGAGTCAATGGTGAAATTTCGTTTAAAATTCGTTCGTTACCGAAATTTCGTTTAAAATTCGTTCGTTACCGAAATTTCGTTTCGGAGAAAGAGAGTAAAGCTCCTGTTCACTAATGCAATGGAGGATATGTTCAAGACGCGGAACTGGTAAAGACGTGACATCAACATAAATGGCGAACGCATCTCTCACTTGAGATTTGCAGACGACATCGTCATCATGGCAGAAACCCTGCAGGACCTACAAAAAATGCTGAATGACCTGGCTGAGTCTTCTATACGCATCGGCCTTCAAACTTGGATAAAACCAAGGTCATGTTCAATGAACATGTTCTACCGGAACCGATTGCAATACACGGTGCCGGTCTCGAAGTTGTTCAAAAATATGTGTACCTCGGGCAGACATTGCAGTTAGGTAGAAACAACTTTGAGGACGAGGTGAATAGAAGAATTCAGCTAGGTTGGGCAGCATTTGGAAAGCTTCGTCATGTCCTGACATCATCGATCCCACTGTGCCTAACGACGAAAGTCTTCAATCAGTGCATCCTACCTGTGATGACATACGGAGCCGAGACGTGAACACTGACGGTACGGCTGGTCCACAGGTTCAAAGTCGCTCAGCGCGTTATGGAAAGGGCTATGCTCGGCGTTTCTCTGAAGGATCGCATGAGAAATGAGGTAATCCGAAAGAGAACCGGAGTTTTCGACATGAAGTGGCAGTGGGCTGGCCATGTTTGCCGAAGAACCGATAACCGTTGGGTTAGATGAGTTCTGGAGTGGTGACCGCGTCTAGGCAAACGTAGTGTAGGACGTCCTCAGGCGCGATGGAGTGACGATTTGCGCAAGGTGGCTGGCAGGAGCTGGCTGCAAGTGGCTCAAGATCGATCTGAGTGGCGTGCATTTGGAGAGGTCTATGTCCAGCAGTGGACGAAGATGGGCTGTTGATGATGATGATTGATGAAATGTGGAAATATTTCCAGAACCATATTATAAATTCAGACCATTATGTATGAAGTTTTGTAAAATTTTAATTATATTTACACTAAAATTACCGGATCGTTAAATTTTATGATTAAGTGTGCGTGTCACTAATGACGATGAAAATCAGTGATGAGCGCTTTCAATTTATGGGCGTACAAACATTATAACGACCATCATAGAATGTCGCTACTGTTCGGTACATTTCGTGTTATCGAACACCATCTCTATGGTTACAACGCATGTAACCGGAACATAAATAGTCCTTCGAGCCGGATCATCCTTCTTATCTTATTCGATCTCTTCTATGATGAAAGACGCAGCGCAGTAGACGTAAATGTAGGGGGTAGGTGCGGCCGGAAAATCACAGAACTAAAACCTTCGCATTGTTGCACTCGCTGTTAACTTCACAGCTGCCATAAAGTTTGCTATACCGGTTTCATACATTTGGTATGGGTAGTACATAGTATTAATAGGTATTAAAACTCTGGAGGACTTTCACAAAGATTCACGCAACACAACACACAAGTCTATCTCTAGCATTAAATGATTTGCATAACAATGTACAACATCTAAGAACAGTCCCGTATGTAAAATTAAATACCTATATTTTATTGGTTTCAGTATCCGAAAATTCAGGGAGTCATCGAAAAGCCGAAATTGTTCGTCAGCAACAATGATTATAAACCAAAATTTATTGAAGAAGTTTATATTACTCATATCTTTAGTCCAGACAAATTCTACGTGAGAAAGGTTCTTCTTGAAACATTTTTTTTTAAATAATAGATTTATTAGTTTAATTAAGGAAATATTGTTAAAGTTATTACTAATTATCCTTAATATCTTTTCAGCGTCATTTACAAAATCTTTATGAAAAAATGTGTGAAGAACTCGAACAAGAATACAGCCTAAGTGTCAACACTGGAACGATATTCCTCCCAGAAATGAGTAAGTAGCAAATACTTAAGTAGTATTAATGCGGTTGTGATTTTCTTCATCTGTAGCCATACTTTAACCGCCTTATTAATAAACGAAGAATAAGCCTGGATTTTTTATTTCATGTTTTGTCTCTGTTCATTGAATGACAAATGGCATTTGAGTGTGTTCGATGCATTGTAATCGAACACCCATAATTTAGCCTAAGACCGCGTTAATTAGGTTAACGTCAATTGATTCAGTGCATTTTTGGTACCGAATGAGTCGGGTGCATTCATCAAACATTAACATTTTCAACATACGCGTAAAAACATTATTATCATTAACGTTAATTTTAGTGTAGTTTATAAAGAACTATATTGTGGACTTCATAATAAAACATTATAATATATTTGAACTTCCTCTTTTACTCCAAACATTCACCGTTATCTAGTGCAAGTCGGAACATGGTCCTTCGAGTGACCTCGCGAATCGGTTAAATATCTTCGTGAGTGTAAATGAACTAGTGAACACTGACGTCTGGATTGCGGTGAAATATAGTGGTGTTCCAGGAATACCAATCATTATCAGGCTTGGATTTATATCCAGGCCTCTCACCATACACCAGGAGCAGCATCAAATAACAAGTAAGATCTTTCTTATTTTTCTCTACAACAATGGAAGACCTTATTGAAAACCAGAACCAGCTGATGACCGCTATGGAGCAGCTCGTCAGAAACATCAAAAAAGATGGGGCAAGTCGCAAAACTGCCCTGTATATCAAGCAAAGAATACAAACTCTGGACAGTTATTGGCAAGAGTTTGAACTTAACCATCTCAAAATGAGTAAGTACGATGAACGTGACTATACATACTTTTCGGAAGATATGTATGCTAAAACTAAAGCTTATTATGAAGAAAAAAGACAATGGATTTTGGAACATCTAGATATAGAAACAAAGAAACGAGTAGAGATGCAGAGTGAAACAGGTGAACAAGGGACGACGAGTCAAAGAGAGGCAGAAGTTGGTGACTCTTCAAAACAGCGCGACAAAGACTACACATTAACGAGATGTCAAGGGAATACAAGCAAATTGGACGAGATTTTACGTAAGCAAACAGCAAACTTCAAGGCCTTTAGAAGAACTGCACAAAACATAGAGTTGGAAACTATATCTGATAAATGGGACGTCCTCAGAACATTACAAACTCGCTGGACGGCAATAGACTCTTTACACTGGGAGCTAGACAGCGAGTTATGCGGAGAAGATCTAGAATATGAACTAGCATTTAACAAGTATGAGAAAGAATATAACAAATTGAAGAAAGAAATTAACAAAAAGATGTGGGCAGTAGCGCACAGAGATAAATCTACACCGCAGTTACTATAATCAGTGGGTGTCTTTTAAAGACCTGTTTAACGAAACTATTCATAACAACCCTTCGTTATCACAGGCTCAAAAGATGCAGTTTCTAAAAAGTAAAGTTCGGGGAGAGGCAGAGCGCATAATACAACATTTACCCATCAGCACTGATAATTATGCAGCATGTTGGGAGCTGCTCAATCACCGTTACAACAACAAAAAACTGATTTTTTCCTCTCATATTAACATATTACTCAGCATCCCCAATATGCAACATCAATCAATGTCACAAATTAAGAAAATGCATGATACAACTCTAGAATGTTTGCATGCCATAAAGAATTTAGGCGTGGATATTAGCACCTGGGATCCACTTTTGGTACATCTTTTGTCGCAAAAATTAGATACCGAAACATATAGTGAATACGTAGAATCCCTTAGCAATGCCCGAGAGCTGCCCACACTACAAGACTTTCTTGACTTCATGGAAAACAAATTTACTCATCTCGAGTCTTCACGCCGCAAACAAGATAATACGCATCAAAAATCATCTCAACAAAATTCATACAATAATCAAGGAACATCGAATGTAAAACGGCCAATATTATAATTCAACATATAACAATAATATAACAAACAACGGAAATAAATCGATTGCGAAATCTTTTCATGTCTCCGGTATCAAATGTCCATCATGCAGCGGCGAACATGGCCTGTATAATTGCAAAACATTCCTAGAAATGCCAAATGAACAAAAATTAAAATCGGTAAATAAGTTGAAAGTTTGTATAAACTGCTTATTCAGCCACAATGGAAACCGATGCATTTCTACGCGAAAATGTCGAAAATGTGCTAAGCATCATAACACTATTTTACATGATGCACTACAGCATCCGTCAACATCTTCCGGCACCACATCTAAGGTAGCTCAAGAAAACATATCTAGTACTTCGAATGTTTCGCAATCACAGGATAATTGCTCGGAAATTTTACTTGCAACGGCGTTAGTGCGTGTAAAAGGAGATAACGGCATTTTTTATAACATGCGCGCCCTAATTGATCAGGGTTCGCAGATTTCAATTATAACAGAAAAAGCAGCCCAACTATTAAGTATTAAAAGAAAAAAATGCCAGGGGTCTATTTTTGGCGTAGGAGAAAAGGAAAATCATTGCAAGGGCATGATAAACATACAATGTACCTCTATGTATAACGATTACTCATTTGACTCGGAGGTACTCATAATGAATAATTTGATTAAAAATCTACCCAATAAGACATTTACTAAGCCCTCGTGGTCATTTATCAAAAATATAAATTTAGCAGATCCAGAGTTCTTTATTAGTCGGCCGGTAGACTTATTATTCGGGGCAGATATTTACTCTAAGATTATGCTTTCCGGAATAATTAAGGGGGAGGACATGCAACAGCCCATCGCTCAGCAAACACACCTAGGCTGGCTACTATGCGGGACTGCAAAAACATATCAGTGTAATGTTATTCTGAACAATTTAGACGATATAAAAAGATTCTGGGAAGTAGAAGAAATTAGTGAGCAAGCCACTTTATCCGTAGAAGATCAAGAATGTATGTCATTATTTTCATCAACAACACAAAGGCGGGAGGATGGCAGATACGTAGTTAGGTTACCGTTCAAGGGTAATTTTTCACAAAAACTTGGGCCAACAAAAAATATGGCAATTGCGCAATTTTTGAACTTAGAACGCAGATTTGAAAAGGAACCGCAATTAGCTTATGACTACAAAACATTTATGAATGAATACTTAGCCTTAAATCACATGAAACTCGCTTGCGGTAACAGGACACTGGAATGCTATTTACCGCATCACGGAATACGGCGCATTGAGTCAACCACAACAAAATATAAGAGTCGTCTTTAATGCATCTGCCAAAACAGAAACAGGATATAGTTTGAATGATTTTATGCATAAAGGGCCCAATTTACAACAGGACCTCCAAACCCTATTATTAAAATGGCGACAGTATAAGTATGCATTTACTGCCGACATCGAGAAAATGTATCGGCAGATATTAGTGCACGAAGAAGACCAAAATTTACAAATGGTGGTCTGGAGGGAGTCAAGAGAACAGCCATTACAATTCTATCAATTGACCACGGTCACTTATGGTACAAAAGCTGCGCCATTTTTGGCCATAATGACATTGAAAAGATTAGCATCTGACGAACAAATCAACTTTCCCGAAGCATCCAAAGTGTTAGAGACCTCTTTTTATGTCGATGACCTTGTCCACGGATGTCATTCGATTCAGAAAGGTAAACAACTTATAACTGACTTAAGAACATTATTAAAAGCCGGCGGCTTCAATTTGAGAAAGTGGGCCTCAAATGAACCGAAAATCCTTCACGACATTACTAACCAACATATCATATCTAACGAAGTTTTCAATTTCAAAACAGAAAACACATCCAAGACACTCGGATTATGTTGGAATTCCGGAGAAGATACATTCACTTTTCAATGCAACATATCACTTCAACAAGTTAAAAAACTAACTAAAAGAAATTTTATCCGAAATTTCAAAATTATTCGATCCTTTAGGCTGGCTAACACCTTTATCGACAAAACTGAAATTATTATTTCAAAAATATGGAAACAAAAATTAGAATCGGATGACGTCGTTAACGAAGAAATTAGTAAAGAATGGAATAAGATAAAAGAGCACGTCCATATAATTAAACAATATGTGATACCTAGATGGATTAAGTGTTGCGAAAATGACGTAATAGAATTGCACGGGTTCAGTGACGCGTCTGAGGACGCGTACGCATGTGTTGTATATGCGCGAATCAAATACACTTCAAAAATAACAATAATTTCTGCGAAATCTAAACTTGTACCGAACAAAAAAGCATTAACTCTGCCAAGATTGGAGCTAAGTGGTGCTTATTTACTAGCCAAACTAATGAGTAAAATCAAACAAGCATTATCACAACACACTCTGGAGCTTTACGGATGGACGGATTCGATGATTGTGCTGGGATGGCTCAATGGTGAGCCTTATCGCTGGATAAGTTTCGTAGCCAACAGAGTACAACACATAACAGAAATAATCGACCATAATAACTGGCGTTACGTCCCATCAAGTGAAAATCCAGCGGATGCTGCAAGCAGGGGCATGTACGCAACACAGCTGAGAGAACATTCATTGTGGTGCCAAGGAAGCATGGTTACCATCTTTCCAAGCAAAAGAACACCAAAAACCAGTTTATAGAACAAAGGAAGATGAAAAATGCAGACAGATTAACATTGTTCAAAAAGAAGAATTTACGAACATTATTGATAAATTATTAAATAAATATAGCACATTCATAAAAGTAATAAAAGTCTTGGCATGGATACTCAGGGCATTGACACCCAATCGTAAACAATACCCTAGATATCTCACATTACAAGAACACAGAAAAGCAAAATTATTAATTGTAAAACATGTGCAACAAACTGCTTACGGAACAGAAACGGAATATTTGCGTAATAACAAACAATTGAACTCGAAAAGTGAAATATGGAAATTGAAACCTTTTATTGATCAGTTGGGAATTTTACGTGTTGGAGGACGCTTAGAAAACTCTATCTTGAACCCGGAAGCAAAACATCCGCAGATAATTCCTCAGAGATCAAAGTTAGCAAAGTTATTAATTGACCAAGCACATCACTTAACATTCCACGGTGGACCACGTCTCTCTTTGGCTACACTGAGGCAACAGTATTGGATCAGGGGGGGGTCTCAACGTTATCAAAAAACAGCTGCGAGCCTGCATAACCTGTAGAAAACAAAGTCCAAGAATGGAAAATCAAGTGATGGGAAACTTACCTGCAGCAAGATGCAACCCCGCAAAACCCTTCTATCATACAGGGGTGGATTTTACAGGCTTTGTAGAAATAAAGCTGAACAAAACTCGTGCAGCAAGAACAACAAAGGGTTATGTAGCTATTTTTATATGTATGGTAACCAAGGCCGTTCATATAGAATTAGTATCTGATCTTACCAGCTCTGCATTCTTGGCTGCCTTAGGGAGAATGGCGGCAAGAAGAAGCGCTCCCTGCCATGTTTACAGTGATTGTGGAACGAATTTTGTAGGCGCAAACAGAATTATTCAGGAAGAACATCAACATCTGCAAAATATTTTTAATGAAACTTTTTTTAAGGAAATAACAGAAATGTCCATAGAAATGCACTTCAACGCACCCTCGTGGCCCAGCGCTGGAGGTTTGTGGGAGAGAGCAGTAAGGAGCCTCAAGTTTCATCTAAGGAGAGTTGTAGGAGAGCAGAAATTAACATTTGAGGAGTTTTCCACCATACTCACACATATTGAGGCATGCTTAAATTCACGCCCGCTCACCAGTTTAACTGAGAACATTGATGACCTTGATTTCCTTACTCCGGCTCACTTCTTAACTGGACGTCCGGGATTATCAGTTATACAAACCCCAGAAGATGCTAGAACGAGATGGCACCTTACAGACCAAATTTTCCAAGAAATATGGAAAAAATGGAAACTGGAATATTTAAGTCAATTAACAGATAGTAAGAAATGGCTACGGACACAACGAAATATGCAAATCGGCGACTTAGTAATAATACAAGATGACAACTTACCACCAGGAAGATGGGCAATGGGGAGAGTTATTGAATTACACCCCGGCAAAGACGGATTAGTAAGGGTTGTCACCGTAAAGACAAAAAATGGGACCATAAAAAGGCCGATCGTTAAGTTATCTATTTTACCCATGGAGGATACCCAGTCAACATCAGAGATTGATAACAAAAATTACAATAACAAACAATGCGAACAAATGCAACCACAACAAAATATTAAACAAACATTAAAGCCAGGGGCACGAGGCAAGCTCACAAGTGTAGCCATGACTTTAGTAATATTTATGACACTATTCGTGCCCTCGAATTGTTCAAGTAACATCACGGAAATTGATAAGAAACAATCTCTTTATTTCGATCCTCTATTTAAAATGCAACTGATACGAGACAAATGGACCCTAGTGGTTTTTTATGATATGGCACCATATTCAGAAGGAATAAAGGCGTTCGAAAAAATTTATAACTACATAGATACCACTTGCAGTTCAATCGATCGAAAAAACCAATGCAACTTAATAATATCTCAATTACAGCACGAGTTCTCGGAAATAAAATATTATAACGAATTACTACTTACGCAACACTTTGACGCGCATACGAGGAGGCGCCGGCGCCGCGGCCTTATCAATGGTGTAGGTTACCTGGCGAACTCGCTCTTCGGCGTATTGGACGAGCGTTTCGCAGAAAAATATACCAATGACATTGAGCTGTTAAGAAAAAACCAAGCACACCTTAATGCATTGTGGCGAAATCAAACATCTGTGGTGGAGGCTGAGTATAACCTACTGAAAAGAACAGAAGAAAACATCGCCAAACAACACAAAACTATAAACAAACACTTGAATAGTTTAGATTCATCGGTGAACACGCTACAAAAGGAGATTAATCTTATCACATATACCCAAGATTTTACTTTGTCAGCATTTATTGCTAATAACTTGTTGAGCCACCTAAGAAGAATACAAGAATTTTTGATAGACACCCTAACCGATATTTATCAAGATCAATTCGACCGGCATTTATTAACACCCCAACAGCTGAAAAAAGAATTGAATGTCATATCGAGTCTTTTAACTAGTGATATCACCCTGCCTCTCGAGAACGGACAAACAGATATTCGTGGACTCTATAAGTTAATGAAAGTCAATGCAAGAATGACGGAAAATATTTCATTTTTGAAATAAAAATCCCTCTTATTAGTCGAGATAGTTTTGATCTGTATCATATTATAGCCTTGCCTCAGAGGCTGAACAAAGGCATGGCCAGCGTTATTCCTACAGCTGACTATGTGGCCATCAGTTTACAGAAAGATACATACCTACCTGTATCCAGTGAAGATATCCATAACTGCATAGCGAGAGACACATATACATACATATGTTATCTGCAAAGTCCAATTTTTAAAATGAAAACGGATCGTGATATGTGTATAAAAGATGAAACAAATCAAAAGGAATGCAAGATTAGCATCCAGGCTTGCCAAAATCAATGGTTCAGCTTAACAAAACCGAATACTTACTTATATTTTTGTTGTGATCAATGTCCTTTGCGAACCTTCTGCAACGATCACGTTACATTACATAGAATTACGCAAACAAGTATCATAAGCATAGATGATTCATGCGTAATAAAAACAGACAATTTTACTATTTATGCACATAGGAATAGAAAATCTACAGTAAAAGTTGAACGAGAAATTGAAATGCCAATTATAGCACCCATCAATCATATTATTAACTTAACATTCGATAAACAGGAAATAGGTAACGAATCAGAGATCTGGAATGATAAGATCGAAAGAAACATAGAAGAAAAAATAAAAACATTGAAAGAAAACGAAAATACGCTGGATCAAGACATATCCTATCATGACATCCACCACTATACACTGATATATGGCATCATGATAGTGGTAAGTTTAACAGGTGCCATACTGTTGTGGCGCAGACTGTGCCGCCGCCGCCAGGTGCCCGCGCCCGTAACCTCGCCCGCTTCCGCGGCCGCAGAGGACGGGCCGCCGCCGACACAGCCGAGTAGTAGTGATCGTATAAGTGATGTGAGAATTTCAGTGAGTAATAATAGTGAAAGTGAATTAAGTCGCGTGTGTAAGAAAAATAAAGGGACAACCCCTGTGTTAAAAAAGGTGATGTTTAGTGCAGACTCTGTGTAAAAAGTTCATAGAGACAATAATTATATTCCTATTATGTTGTTTATTAAGAGTTGGTATTTTTATTTCACTTTACTAACATAGATTTAAGTAAACATTGTATCTTCATCTTGTAACTTTAATTTTTTTCATCTAACAAGCACATCTCATGAGAGTCATCTTTCCGGTCGGCAATATGTTCGATGCATTGTAATCGAACACCCATAATTTAGCCTAAGACCGCGTTAATTAGGTTAACACGCGCGTCAATTGATTCAGTGCATTTTTGGTACCGAATGAGTCGGGTGCATTCATCAAACATTAACATTTTCAACATACGCGTAAAAACATTATTATCATTAACGTTAATTTTAGTGTAGTTTATAAAGAACTATATTGTGGACTTCATAATAAAACATTATAATATATTTGAACTTCCTCTTTTACTCCAAACATTCACCGTTATCTAGTGCAAGTCGGAACAGAGTGATAGGAACAAAACACGGTGTAACTAGTCAAAGCTTATTTCGCGTTTATTAATAAGGGAGTATTTATACTATTATTGGATTTTCCGTCCGGGGAAGTACCGTCCACCTTTCAAAAGACCACAATAAAATATTTCCTTTTGGAGGTGTTGTATTTTTGTCGGTGAGTTAGGTTCCAGGGCTCCACGCGATAGGTTATTGGGTCAGGGTTGGCAACGGCGGAAGTGATATTTTTGTGACTCATCGTCTATAAGCTATGTGGACCGCTTACCATAATGAGGGCAATAAGCTTGTTTGCCACCCTTTTACATAAAAAAAATATTGATGGTGGGACAATAATTTAAAATTAATAAAGTTTGTATAAATTATTTGAGCCTTATTTGAATTACATGCATATTTCCTATTACAATGTCTAGGCCCTGGGTTCCGAACCTGGGGGTAATTACCCCTCCGGGGGTAAATCAGCCATACTTCGGGGGTAACAAAGAACCTAATTATTTGGTCAAATCTAAATAATAAGAAAATACTATATAATAATACTACTAAATAGAGCATGCACTTCTTCTTGCTAGCGAGCCCGCGGAGTGCTGAGTGTGGGAAGCGGGGCGAGATTTTCTCCTGATGATGACATTATTAGAGACGAAGATGTAGCGGCCAAATTGGAATTTCTTGGACTGATAACACTTCAAAGTCGGGGTAAAATCTGTTTTCCTAACAAGTTACAGGGGTAGCAGTATTGGAAAGGTTAGGAAACACTGGTCTAGGCATTCACGGTTAGGCAATCAGCTGCTTCGTCTATTGATGTGTTAGGTATTTTTGCAGCAATGACATCTTGCAATTTAAGTACTCTGCTCATAATAGTTACTATTAATGAGGTTGTGATTTTCGTCATCTGTAGCAATACTAAATACATGTTTATTTTCTCCACTAATAGATATGGCATGCGTGGTGAACACTGAGAAATACAACGTGGAAGGTGCAGCAGGGCCGTGGTCGCGCGGCATCGTCATCGATCTGCCAGGCAGGGCGCGCGTGCGACTCTTATTGCCCGACATTGGCAGCACACTGCTGGCGCACTGCAGCGCTCTGAGGCACATCCAGCCTCGCTTCGTCACCCAGCGCGCCCTCGTGAGTATATAGTACAACGTGGAAGGCGCAGCAGGGCCGTGGTCGCGCGACATCGTCATCGATCTGCCGGGCCGGGCGCGCGTGCTGTTCTTATTTCCCGATATTGTCAGCACACTGCTGGCGCACTGCAGCGCTCTGAGACACATCCAGCCTCACTTCGCCACCCAGCGCGCCCTCGTGAGTATATAGTACAACGTGGAAGGCGCAGCAGGGCCGTGGTCGCGCGGCATCGTCATCGATCAGCCGGGCCGAGCGCGCGTGCGACTCTTATTGCCAGATATTGGCAGCACACTGCTGGCGCACTGCAGCGCTCTGAGGCACATCCAGCCTCGCTTCGCCACCCAGCGTGCCCTCGTGAGTATATATACGTGGCAGGCGCAGCAGGGCCGTGGGCGTGCGGCATCGTCATCGATCAGCCGGGCCGGGCGCGCGTGCGACTCTTATTCCCCGATATTGGCAGCACACTGCTGGCGCTCTGCAGCGCTCTGAGGCACATCCAGCCTCGCTTATGAATATATATCCGGGCAAACTTCTTGAGCAACGACCGTAGACATGGAAGCCGGCGCAGTAGCAATATTACGTACAAAAACGTCTGCAGCGCAAGTTATTGTCTGTGGTTTTGCTCAAGAGTTTTGTCGCGACCTATTATACCTCTCCACGAAAAAATCGGTTATGAGCACAGAGCCTAAGATGCAAGATGCCACTGCTGCAAAAATGCCTTACACGTCAATAGACTAAGAAGCAGATTGCGTACCCATGAATGCCTAGATATTGTAATTGCCCAAATGTTATTTCGTCTACAATTCCAAATGCTTAAAATACACTGTTTCTAATGCCTAATGCGCAAGTTTGTTTGGAATCTCTTGTTGTAATTTGATAGGAGCACTTGAAAATTATAAGATAATCTATACAGTACTTATGCTCAATTTTTAGTTTAAAAAAATATTTGTATTTTTAAGGGTATATTAGTTAAGTAATATTTAAAGTTTTCAAATTGACGGTTGACAGCAAACATTATAGTCACAATACATTGTAGGCAATCTGCTTCTAAGCCCTAGTGCGTACACTACTACAACCGCCATGATCTTATGACGCCCGCGTGTAGTTCGGCCGATAACGAATTAGGTGTATCCAAAGCCTTAGTCCCTTTTTCACTATAGGCCACTGAGTGCTACTTGGCCGGTGTGACTGCCCTCAACAAGAAATGGAGTCCGGGTTCCGTAGCTTTACTACAGAAGTATGAAGAACGTTTGCTTGAGCTCCACGTGGAAGATTGTCGCAATCGCGGCGCCCTCGGCGTCACACTGTATGACAAGGCCGATCCCGATAATGAGATTTGCATCAACAAAGAAATGATCCGATACAAATTCGCAGTATCATTCGGGTAAAGTATTAATTTTCTTTTTTAATTGGAAAACTAACAATGATTTTTAGCAAACAACATATAGCTTAGTTAGAATACAACATCTGAGTAAGAATATAGCATCAACATAGAAATTCTTAGTTTCAATTGGATATAATATTCGTTATCCAATGGACAAGAAATCTGCAAAATTTTCCCACTAGGGGCGCTGTAATCGCTTGACCCAAAACTTCTATCAAATACATACCTATTAGCTTATATTAATTTTAAAGCTTTTTATTAAACAAATTACAAATGCCGCGTTGTGCAATTCTTGGTTGTTGTGAGAAAACTGCATGCTACCCGACTAAAATATAATTTTATATTTTGATTTAAAGGGGGGGGGGGGGGGGTAAAACTGAGCTGCTGATTACACCATGGTATGTATCTGGGACAGGTAATTGCATCTGGATGTCTTCATTTTGATCAGAAAAAACTGCACAAAAATTAAAATTGCGGTCATATGCCTCAAGTCTGTAAAAAAACCCAACGATATACTTCTCATTTTAGCCAGAGGTAACCTCCCTCTATGTGATGTCTGGCTGATGCAAAAATAAGATAGATTTGTCTAATGAGCCCGCTAAAAGTTAATGGGATCCATACACTATTAAAATAATCATGAAAAATGCATCTATGTACCGAGAATAAGTATTCTAGCATAATAATAGAAGGAGTGCCTTTCTACTATATCAGCTTTTCTGCCTTGCACAGATGCTCCTCTCCTTTTCAAATCTGTTTTCAGTTGTATTACAGACCATGTTGAATACACTTTTACCACTTATTTAAAAAAATTAACAACAAAAAAACACGTTTAAAATTTGACAGCTGCAATATTCGGCTGTGGTTTGGGTCATGCGTTTGCAGCGCCATCTATGTCGAGCTTTGCGTATACTTCTCCATTACATTGTTATTATTAGCTAAATCTATGAATTTATAAATGTAAAGCAAACATTTGACTTGGCCCGAAAAGCATAGATTTGATCCTGTCCGATACTCGGAGGGAGTGGATTTTTTTTCTAGTAAAATATTTGTTTAGATTTGCAAATCTAATATCTTATTAATATCACAATTGTCACACTGTACGACAGAACCGAACGCGATTATAGACTAGATTTGCATCAACAAAATTCATATCCGGTACAAATTCGTAGTTTTATTCAGGTATAATATAAACTAACTGTCCTTGTTACATTTTATTAATCTTAAAATTTGTAATTTTTGAATTGTTACTCTCACAGAGAGAATTTGGATTAAATTTTACACATATTCATAATATTAGTCACATTGTCATTTTTCTTACTGAAAATTTTGCTAGGTATGTATGGTTGTACACATTATCAAAAACTTATGTTCTATAGAAAGGATTCAGTTAAACTTTATGGAATTTTAATCACCAGATATACTTAGGTATTGTTTAAATTCTTAAATTCACACAGACAAAATCGTGGGGATATTTTAGTAATAAATCATCAAGTAAACAACTTATTAAAGCTTTATTTACAGATTGTTTAGATTTAATAAAAATGACATTGAAGAACAAGTTATCCCTAACAAAACGCCTCTTGATAAACCTAAAGAAAGTACGCAAGTGAAAAAGAGTGAGATGACTTTGCTAAAGAAGGAGCAAGCAATGAAGAAAATCAAGGAACAGGACTTGGAGGCGAAGGACAAGGGACCACTCAGATTGGAGGTCAAAGTGTTACACTACCAATCGCCATCGTTGTTATACGTATCATTGATACACCAACAAAAAGTATTCAATGAACTTTTTGAGAAAATTCAGAAATATTACTCTACAAAGAAAACATCAGGCAAAGCCGATTGGAATGAAGGCGACCGTTGCTGTTGCCTTTGCGCTCAATCGCAGACATGGCGGCGGGCCGTCATTATTGAATTAGAAAACGAAAACGCTAAAGTATTCTATTCAGACTTCGCTTGCATCGAAACGGTGCCATTAGCTAACCTGAAGGAATTGGCCCCGGAATTCGTGTCCATAGGTGATGCGGCCATCAAATGTCACTTGTATGGTGTCATACCGGCAGTCGGAGAAGACTGGCCATCGCTAACTAAAGAATTCCTGAAGGAATTACTTGATGCATACAAAAGAGTGTTCATAACCAAACATGGAAACTTCAAGAATAAAAGTATGCCTGTCGAGGTTTGGGTATACCATACTGTACAAGGCGGTGCTTTGGAACCAAACAAATCCGAATGGCGTTGTTTAAACGAAAAAATTATTGAACAGGGATTGGGTATTCCAGACAAAGCAAAAGAAGAGGTCAGTATAGCTAATGCATCCACTAATAACTTGATTATATGTAAAAAATTATAGCACACATGCTTCTTGCATGCTGCCCACCTGAATGTAAGCCACCGTAGTTCAAAGCCGCTTGCAATTCCATAGTATCATTCGCACGTTGCCTATCCTGACTCTATACACTACAATCGTATAAAAAAGTTACTTTTCTTATTAAAATCACGCAGTTACATATCAATGTCTGATTGACCTCAATGAGTAAACATTGACTTTATTTTCAGGGTACAAGTACTGAACAAAATACTACTGACAGCGAGACATTATCATTTTTAAACATCACTGGTTGTGTGCGAGAATGGCTCCAATTGGAGCCACTGCCTACTAAACCACTTATGAACAAATCCGATTCGGAAAGCATTAATTCGCCAATCGATTATGAAGAGTCTTCGGAAAAACCTGATAATTTCCTGCAACCCTCCAATACAGTTTTCATATCCGATTGGTTGCCACCAGAACCACTACAGAATAAAGAGTTTACTGGTATGCCAACGTAAGTATGAAGATAAACAGTAATAGGAGAGTTCCCAGTCAATCTGGAATGTGTGTTTTCTATAAAGCTTTACAATAGGTTAAATTCGTCAGTACTAATTTATTGGTGTACGTTACTACCGATCTACTTACTCTGATAAATATCAATAATCTAAAACCCTACGAATGACATGGCAAAATTTATAAAAAAATAAACAAAACTTGTTTTTGTTATCTTTAATATGTGTTATGCTGTAATTTGAATTTCACACATTTCCTTGCATGTGTTAGATACTGATATCAACAAGCAGTCAAGCACATTACTCGGATTGACCTGTGGCTCTTCATGTATGATAAAACATGTTTATTACTATGTCGCGCGATCCCTACTATAATATAAAGTTGTATATTGTGTTACAGATACATAGATAACGACGGCATCATATATCTACATGACATGGCTCAACAAGACACACTCGATCTTATTCGTAAAGCTTTAGATGTTCGTTTCAAGAATCCAGATCCTAAAGCTAAGTATGCAAAGTGGACAGTTGGCGAACCGTGCATTGCTATGTTCTTCTTGGACAGTCGCTTTTATAGAGGCAGGGTCCTAGAAGTAAATGAGGAGACTTCTACTTGCCTCATACATTATGTCGACTATGGAAACGAGGAAACATGCTCGTTTGCTAATCTCAGAAAAAGTATTGCGCTATACCAAATTCCTATACAAGCGCATAAGTGCGCTCTAGATCGTATAAGACCAGTCGGCGCACAATGGGACAGACAAACTTTAGACTACATCCATAAGTCGGTAGTTGAGAAACAATGTTTCATAAGAATAACTGGAGAGAAAATTGATGGCGTTCTACCAATAGAAATGAAATATGACAAACTCTGGATAAATGACCACCTAGTCGACTTCGAAATGGCCTGCTACACTGATGGCAGTAGGGCGGTCGTTCGTAGATTCGCTCCTCCCCCCACACAAGGAGACATCCGAGAACATAATGTTGTTGAATCAGACTCCGGCCCCGATTATATTATCGAGGATGATACTGATACTGCTGATAATTCTGTGTCACAAGATTCATTCAATTTACAAGCCATGAGTGGTAAAGATTGGAATGAGCTGATAGAAGAAGATGATCACACAGAAGACCGTTTTACAACTTATCCTAAAAACACAAACAAGGAATTCTTATGTAATATTACTATAATCAATTCCACTGAAACAATAGAACTTAACATCATCCATGATGACGAAACCAATTTATTATATGAAGAAATGTTTGAGAACCTGCAAAAAGAAGGGCCACTGATGCCTCCATTAAACGGTATCTTCGAAAACAAAGCCTGTGTGGCTCTTTTCCCTGAAGACAACCAATGGTACAGAGCCTCTATTTTGCAGTACAGCGAGAGTAAGAATCAAGTAAAAGTTCGCTATGTGGATTATGGTAATATTGAAACTATTTCTTTGGCTGACGTAAGAGAAATACGTGAAGATTACACGAAACTTCCTCCAGGCTCACTACAAGTGAAGCTGCATGGTGTGAAAATTAACCCTGACATAGATGTTAATATTTTATGCCAAGAGTATAATGATACTTTCTTAAAGAATAATGAGATATATCATGCTGAAGTACGTGATGTAGAAAATGAGACGCCAATCGTCGAATTGAGAAACGAGAATAATGATTTAGTTTACAAAAACCTCATAGAAAAGGGAGTTTTTTTCCAAACTTAAAATCATTTGTTAGAATAGTCATTTTATAGTTGATATAAGTTGTAATGTCCCATGTTTTTTCTTTTCATTGCTAAGTAAGCTAATTTTTATTTTTTATATTATGTTGATTTTTATACGTTTTCTGGATATCAAGTGTGATGATACATGGCAAAATGTAAAAGTTCGAACTTAAATTGGCCAATAATTTCGTAATTGTGGTTTGGTGTTGATTTGATACTAAATTTATATGAGTATTGTTACAGCCTACCTGATATATTTTAAAAACCACCTGTTATTAAACCATTCCAAATAAAAAACATTAAAATTGATATTTTATTCATTTAATTCTTACAAAATCAACTTACTATCTTAAAGTTTTGTGCTTTTTGAATTGCGTTTGTATGACGTTCGTGCAAAATCTGCTATTGCTCCTTAGGACATATAGCAACTAAACGAAGGGGTGCTCCAGTGCCCAGTTTTATTTTCATTGGCAACACCAAAGCAGTGCATCCATATTCTGGAAATGAAGCAGGGTTATAAAACGCACCATTGCTAGTGAAAAGGGCGCAATTTTTCCAGTGCTACACTAACTGAAATCTCACCAGTAACTAGCACCACAATATAGCTATAGTTTTTAATTAATTTTTACCACTTAGTGCGGTGGGACCATGGTGACAATTATCCGTTACTAGGCGTTACCCGCCGTTTATTAGGGATTAGTTATCAATCATAAATGTGGTGTCAGCTTACTCCATACCAAATTTTATTAAAATCGCTCCGGCCTTGTAGACTTAAATAAGTAACAAACACACACTCACAAACTTTCGCCTTTATAATATTAATGTGATAACTGGTGAACACTATTTTCGAAAGTGGGACTACGGGTAAAAAAAAATACCCGTGGACCCACCAAGGGGACATGTTGGTGGAACCACGGGTATTAGCCCGAAAAGTGCCTAGTATCAAAATGTTTACCGGCTACTTTCTCATTCAGTAAATTTACGGACGACTGTAGCAGGTTAGTCGTCCTCCAAATTGCAAAATTCGTTGTATTTAGTCAAGATAAAACCGGGATCATTACACAGTACACAGACTTTCATTATAATATAGTTCTTATTTATTTTGAAAGTTTAGACGACATTAAAACTGAAGATATCCACTAGTTTGACACACAAAGAAGACGGTATCTAATTCGTTGCATGAGCTTCATATAAATGTTATAGCCTCTAGCATTTCCGGCAGTTTTATTTACCGGTCCAACAACCAACACATACGTCGTGAATGTCAGAGCTTATTTGGGGTCTGGAAAATGTTGTGTGTTGGTTCTGAGATTAAGCATACTACTTAATTAAACTTTGTGAGCAAGTAATAACTTACCAGGAATATCCCTATTTAAATTAACATTTTCTATATTGTAAAGCCCATGTCGTGAAGTAATTTTATGAACAGGAAATTGTTTACTAGAACCTGGGTCTACTGATGCTACGTCTACACCAAGACCTACAACATTTTTGTAAGAACTTGTTATCCATTTAGCTACTTCTTCGCTTAAACCTGAAAATTAAAAATCTGTGTATTTATTATTTCAATTTGTGACACGTGAATGAACGTGATAGTATACTAGAAAAACCGAGAGTAAACTATATACGCCGGTTGCTAAAATCACATATAATTGAAATTACCCAGTAGCGATATGCAGGTGACACCTGCTTGATATGCGAGGCAGAAAAAAAGATATTTACATATTTCATAATGAAACACGTACACGTACATTGTCCATCCATGGCCAAGAGGAAAAGTGACCGACTACCAACGTGGGTATAAGTCGCGGCACGAAACTGTAGCGCTGACCGTTATTGCGCAGAAGTAAAAATTAAGATGTCTTAAGGGGGGAAACGAGGTACGGGGGTGGGCGTGCGTTGCGCCAATTGGCTCTCCCAGTCGTATCTATGCGCAGCTATCCCCTCCGCGTTTTGTTCAGCGCTAGAGTTATGTGCCGCGACCTGTATGGTAGTTATAGCCTTTTATTATAGTTGGGAATAGCCGTTTCTTTCTTTCGAGGGAAACGTAACTTAAAGGTCGTAGCAGAGATTAACTCGGTAAGGGATCGTCACTGTATATCAACTCGAGCTGTTCAGTAATTCTTGTTTATAACTCCATATTACAACGTACACTAATTGCCTCGCCTCTGGACAAGATTTAGACAATCAGTGATCGATCATAAAAGGGTTCCGTTTTTTCCGATCGAGCTACGGTACTCTAAACAAAGATTTTGAGATAGACCCCGTAACAAAAAAGGTCCTAAAATGACAACTGACGGCTCCTTATTTCTTTTTTGTTTTTAAAATTAATAAAATTTATATTTATATCCTACTTAACGAGCTCTAGAAGACAATGATATGTGATAATAGGCTGGTGTGAAAAAAATATATATATCGTCTCCTTTAAATGTATAGAACCCGCAATGAAAAATGTTTTCATTGAATTTTAACTAAATATATTAGGTTTTGAGCAAGCAGTTTACATAAATACCAAAATTTCAGTTCTGTAACTCATTCCATCTACGATCTAGAAACCCGTGACATTGGGACACACAAACGACAGAGTAACAGCAATAGGGTTCCATTTTTACCATTTGGGTACGGAACACTAATTAATAATCAAAAAACTAACCCAGAAATGACGCAGACGGCCGATTATAGTTCTATTGTTGTTTTTCATAGAAATCGATAAATTTTAGTCACAGTCTGAACATGAGAAAGAAAAATATGAAAACTGCATAGGTATTACCATAAACCCGTAGACATATCTTACCAGGAAAATTCAACTCGTTGCTGTTTTCTGCGAGCCCCAAATACTTTTTCCGATCATTGAAGTATTTACTCCATCCGAACTTGAATATAATAATGCAAGGTTTCCCGTTATTATCATTAAGTATATAATCTAAGTGCTCCTTATAAAGTACGAAGTTGGGATCATCATTAACTTTAGCACTCATGTCTACTATGACCACTGGAATAGAAAAAAAGACATGAAGGGCTAAGGGGAAAAACAGGCTAAGTCACATTAATAAAATTTTACAGTACAAGCAATTAAAGTGACGATAGCATTTTATGACTGACTCTATGAAAATCTGCTCATTTAAAGAAGCAGTTGATTTTAAAAGTAAATTAAATAGTATACTACAAGTACATGTATTAATTTTCTGAATAAAAATTGCACAATAACAATAAATAACTGATATTTCATCAAAACACCATAATAGTCTGCGAAAGAAGTAGGTAAAAAAAATAAGACTACGAGTTTTACCCTTTTTGTGATAGCCATAAGATGAAATGAGCATTTTTGTGGCCACAGATTCCAAAAAAAAAAATTTAAGAAAAAATGGACTAAGCCTGCTTTTCCCCTTAGCCCTTCATATGTAAAATAAGTACATACTTGCATACACAGCAATAACCAATGTTTTCGCTGTCTTATCGACAGAATTTAAAGTTGTTTAATAAAGTATTTCGGCTATAAATAGGTAGGTACTCTATTTTGGTTATGTTCATGTTTCTATTTATCAACCTGTGTATATTTTTAAAATAAATTATTATTGTAATGTGATTATAATAAAAAAAATTAACACGTCAAAAGTAAAGTGAACCTTATGACATTGCAGGATTTGGGTGAAACCGCACACAGAACAAACAAGCAGTTTTGTGCCTTCCTAATCAGGAACTAATAAAAGTGACCCTTTATCTCGATGAAATATATCAAAAAATATGTATTCAAACACCTACATGGCACTATAAGTTTCTCCAATGGTAATTCTCCAGCATGTAGACCGCCTCTGTAGAAGTGATACGGTGCATCAAGATGCGTGCCTCCATGTTCTCCGGCTGTAAAATCATTAGCGGCGTACCTAAAAATATTTTAACAATTAATTAAATAACTAAAAGTAATTACATTTTCGCACACACTCTGTTTACTCACACATTCCACATTAGTTCGACCGTCGAACTAGTGACATTTGTTCTGGCGTCGAGCTATAGAGATTTTATTGTAACATTTGTTTGACCGTCATCGAACTATTTTTCTTTTATTTATCCATTTTTACCATTACTATTTCATTGCCAGAACCTCTTAGTTACCTATGTATGGTCCTCCTGACATGGTTCTTTTTAGGGTCTGTACCCAAGAGTAAAAAAGGGAACCCTATTGCTGTCTCTCTGTTGTCTGTCTGTCCGTATGTCACGGGTGTGTCTATTATTCAATCCGTTTACGATCTAGACGTAAACGGAATGAATAATAGACACATCATTGTGTAAAGCTCTTAAGTAAGAAATAAATATAATTTTTATTTTCAAGAACGAAGAAATGGCGGGCGGTCAAAGTTGTAATTTTTAGACTATCTCAAAATCAAAACTAGTTAGGAATGTGAAATTTAGGTATATGATATCCTATATGCTGTATTTAAACAACAAATAAATACTGAAAACGCCGATTCATTATGAACTTTGTTAGTTATGACGAAAACTAACAAACTATTTTTCCTTTGCATTTTGTTGTGCGGAACCCTTCGTGCGCGAGTCGGACGTAAATAGTGACTACCGCGCCGCGGAATGGAATAAAAGCGATTTTTAACATTGTATGGACTATTGTATTAATTAAAATGATTATTATTAATGTTTTTGAAACTTGTTGATTTATATTTCTCGATTATTATTATTCTTTTTTTATCGCACCTAACTGTCAAACTCCATAGTAATTTGATAATAATAGGGTATTTTCCAATTATTTTTAAACTGCTTATATGGACAAAAAGATTGGGACAAACTATTGACGATTGAATAAATTAATTAATGTATTTTTTTCTCCGTTAAACCAATAAAAGTAGAATTAATTTTTAATAGTTTTGAATAAACCGCCAAAACGCTAGGTTCGATGACATCTACTGTGTGACGTCAACTTTGTGTATGATATGTAATCATCTGAAGATCAAATATTTAATTAATTGGTCTAATGGAGAAATAAAGGCATTAATTTATTTATTTTTATTTTTCTGTTAATTCGTTTGTCCCAATCTTTAAATATAAGCAATTTTCAAAAATTTGGAAAATGGGTATTTTATATTTATTCAGAGTGATAGAAACGTGTTATGTAAATATCATATCGTGGTGCTTATGCTAGAGAGGACAGGACTAACATCCTACTAATATTATAGAGAAAGTTTGTAGGTATATTTGTTACTCAATCACGGAAAAACTACTGAACGGATTTGGATGAAACTTAGCAAGCATATAGTTTTTGAACTGGATTGAGACATAGTATACTTTTTATACCGGAAGAACATTACGTTCCTGAGGGATTTTCAAAAAACTCAAGTTAAAGCATACGAAGTCGCGGGCGGCCGCTAATATTATATATATATATAGTTTGAAATTTTTGGGACACTTACGCAAGTGTCCCACAAACTTTACCTAACTCGTGTTACAATGAACTGCTGGTTACAATACAACATAAATTTAATTTCCTATACAATGCGTACTTATATAGTAGGTATGCCTAGTAAACTATATTCATGACACAAATATATCTACTATCGTAGCGTCCGCTGTACCTACCTATAAACAGAAATAATGTTAACATACCATGAACCGTCAGCTCCAAGCTCTTCGATCTTTTTTACAAAAACAAAGTTTAGACTATTAGGCCAATAAATAGTTTCATTGTCAAATGAATGAGTTAAATCTACAAATTCATAATGACCACTAAATAAAAAAATATTTAGCTCATTTCTGGCACAGTAATTGTTTGAGATTTGCATAAGCAACAGTAACACGACCACATTCTCAGACATCTTGTAAACAACTGATAGTCGGCTGTATAACTGATACTGGATACTGACCTAATAATAACAATAGATAGCTAAAGATGCAGTAATGACGGGAAGTGATGAAGTGATGCTAGATTTACACTACCCAATTAAAGGCATCCCAAAGAGTAGTACAATATAGAGGGATTACCCTGACTAAGGGTGTTGTAATGTGAGTTAGACTTAGGGCTGCCATCTCTAAGATGTGGCAACCAGGACAAGATGCGTGATAACCCCGGATTTTGGAGCCCAAAACCCGGACAGACCAATAAAAAACAGTTAAAAATATCACAAATCAACTTTTTTTATGTTGATGTAGGCAAAACAGCTAGAAGTCCACCTCATAATAAGTGGTCACTGCTGTCCATGGACACTTGCAGCAACAAGGGCCACTCAGTGTTGCCATGGCTCTGAACGAAAAGGTTCATCCGCCTCTTTAAGATTACCATATCATAGCTATTAAAAAAATACTGAGGCAAGTTCGTTCCAGATCTTACTGGTACGCAAAAGAAAGGAACACATGGTGCTCGAACGCTAGGCGTCCACATGGTGGGCGTTAAACTTCTCTGCGGTGTGTGGTGCTGTGGAGAAACTTGCCCACTGGCATCCGTTTGAATAATTCCTCGGAACACTCTCCGTTGTATAGACGGTACAACACGTATAAGCAGTTGCGTTCTTGTGCGTGTTGTACCGTCTGCGCATGCTAAGGGGTTGCAACGCGTCAGTGAGCTCAGGATCATCGATAAATCAAACTGTCCGCTTTTGTATCCGGTCAAGAGGAAGGAGCTGGTATTGGGGTGGTGCAGCCCAGAGGACCAGTGCTTTGTAAAGTAACACCCGATTGAGGTATTTACTAGGTCTATTAAGCACCCAAGCTTTTTCACACAAACTTGTGTCTTTGCTGGGTTAATCCAATCAAGTTATGTTGGCTTCAATTTGAGACTTGATCCAGTAACATCTCAATCTCGGACACAAGTCTTCATACCATTCTTCTTCCATCCGAGGGATGTTTGACCGACCAGTGTAAAAAGTGTCAGTGCTGTCATCCACATAGCAACGAATGCTGTTATTGCGTACAGCGTGAGCGCAGAACTGGGGGCCAATCGCCTAACGGAAATGCTTTGGAAAACGCTAACGCTTACGATTTTATTTTGTTATTCCTAGCCGCCTGAGGTATTCAAATGCCTCGCGCTCTTTCTTTTTCTTTTGCATTGGTAATAACAATATTAAAAAAAATGAGCGTGAGGTATTCGAAAACCTCAGGCGGCTAGAAATAACAATATAAAATCGTAAGCGTTAGCGTTTCCCAAAGCATTTCCGTTAGGCGATTGGCCCCCTGGGGGCCTTTCGCCTAACGTAAATGCTTTGGAAAACGCTAACGCTTACGATTTCATTTTGTTATTTTCTAGCCGCCTGAGGTTTTCAAATGCCCCGCGCTCTTTTTTTTCTTTTGCATTGGTAATAACAATATCAAATAAAATGAGAGTGAGGTATTTGAAAACCTTCGGCGGTCAGAAATAACAAAATGAAATCGAAAGCGTTAGCGTTTTCCAATGCATTTACGTTAAGCGAAGGGCCCCCTGATCTTTGAAAGAGAAAAGATTTATTTATTTTCAAAGACATTTAAATTGACGGATTAGTTGGCAACCCAAAACAGGAAATTTTTAAACCCGGGCTACAAATGAAACCCCGCCCGGACGCTCCCCGGACGCCCCGTAAACTAGGACAAATCCGGGGAAACCCGGACGGATGGCAGCCCTAGTTAGACCTATTCTAGACGGATGTAATACAGCGTACCAACCAAGGTGACCTTGGTGGGAAGTTGGTTTCCATCCGCGTTATGATTTTCAGATATTGTTAATATTAGATTAGGTCAGTATCCTATCAAGTATCAGTTGCACAGAGTACCAATCAATTGTTTACAAGATGTCTGATAATGTGGTAGGTAGGAGGTTGTTGGCGGAATTTCATCGAGTGTGGTTGGCGTCTTATTTTAATTATTCTTAAATTCGTTCATAGTGAATATTGTGAAATAAAATTGGTGTGATTTTGTGTTACAACTGCATGCGTGCCAACTGAAGAATTAGTAGAATCCTCAAAATATACGCTATTCCGGTCAAGTGGACGTGAGAATTTTATTGTAGTATTGACTACCTCACAGAAGCTTATCGAAAAAGCCAGCTCGATATATTTCGTGCCAAACACTTCAAGAAACATTAGAATGCGTCACACCGACATTCTAATGTGAAAAGAAAAACAGAATAATTTAACTTAAGACTAGGCTGTATGGGCATTGTTCCCTTTGCCTTCCCTGAAAAGGGAGAACTTAACCAATAAAAAAATGTGGTAGGTAGGTAGGTAGGTACTTAGATTAAAACAAAAAGGGTAGATACGGTACGCTCTTACTTGCATCAAACAAAAACTGATCCCACTTTACTACATATGCAACACTCACACATCCACCTGTTTGTAAAGATACAATCGAACGAACGAAACAGCAATATAAGTTTCAACGGCAGCGCGAACGGGACGGCAAGATCCGCGTCACTGCGCTACCGACCAATCACGCGACCAGTACTCGACGTCACTACAGAGTAGCGTCAGAGAAAAAAATAAAAGTATTTTTTATTAAATATAAGTTTTTTATTAAAATTCAATAAAAAAATTCCACATTGAGCAATTTTCAATCTACTTTGAAAAGCTGAGGGAATGAAACTGTTTACAAGTATACCTACTAAAAGTAGGTTTTTTACATGATAACGTCAACATTTTTTTAAGGTATCTTATACTGCTGGATGTGGTCATTTTTATTGTATTCAGAGTTTAAAAGAATCTAATCGAGATACAATTTTTACTAGAAACTTTACACTTATTATATTTCAATACCAATCATAAACTGATTGTTCAATAAATAAAAAGAAATCTAAAATAATATTAAAAAAGTTAAAATCAGACACACATTATTATATCACCTGATAAAAAATCAGTTAACAAGCGTACCTACTAAAAGTAGGTTTTTTATACGATACCGTCAACAATTTTTTAAGATACCTTGTACTGCTGGATTTGGAAATTTTCATCGTCTATAGTATTTAAAAGAATCTAATCCGAAACACTTATTATATTTCTCTTCTAAGCATGAATTGCTTGTTTTATAAATCTAATCTAAACCATACTTTAAAGGAGGACGGGCATTTTGGTATCCAATTGGTGTTTGGTATCAATAGCAATGAGTGATATATCATTGAATTCCTCTTTTCATGTAGAATATTATTTACTATGGCGGCATTCTGATATTTGTTGTCCGTTTTTAGTTTTTCCAGAAAATACCAGAACCATTTTTGCATGAATCGTTATTACCATTATTTATTATTACAGAACCGAAAAGGGAAATCGAGTCACTGAATCAAGTACAGAGTTGAATGCGGGATGCCATCTCCTCTCCCGCCCGTATTTAGGCAGGTAGACAGAAGGCGCTGGCGCGTGGCCGCTGGGGCGCGCGGGCGCATTAGTCGATCGTTAGTACTGCGCGTGAGACTACGTTCGTTCCTTCTTATATCTTTCTCTGATCTTCTTTCTTATAATATTTCCGACACTCACACCAATTATTAGCCTAGCCCCAAAGTAAGCACTATAAGGCTTCTGTTATGGGATGCTAGGGTAACGGATAGAATACATATACTGTACATATATAAATATATTTATATAGAAATACATATTAAACATCCGTGACTGGAGTACAAATGCTTGTATTCATCACACAAACATCTGCCCCCACCGGGATTCGAACCCGGGACCTCTCGAGTCGGCGACACCATGAAACCCGGCGTACAAACCACTCGACCAAGGAGGTCGTCAATATAATTGACTAATACAATTGAATAATTAATTATATAATGAATTATAATAATATAATTCAACATTATTGTACATGTCTAATTGGTAGACGTACCATAGGAACTTGTGCTCACATATTATCCATTATATGGTACCTAAGCTATGCCAGGCACGCCGGATTCGTCGCTCCTGCACTGTTCCTAAATGACATTCTTATTATAGATAATGAATAAAGTAATTACTCAAAAATGTTTCTTTCACTCTGCCTCTGGATAACTGCATACATAAAAAATTAAATGAATAAAAACAAAAAAAAACTTTTCTATTTTGTTATTTTTATTTTCGGTCTGAAATAAACGTAAAAAATATATTTACATTTAAATTATATTTATTTTATAAATGGTTCTTTTCGATATCTTTTATATCATAATCGATATCGATATCTTACCTACATAAATTAATATTCCAAAAAAAATTACGAAATATTTTTTTTGTTGACTCTACCCAATTTTTACTCTCGACTGACATTACAATGGCAAGTATTCGCGCTTATGCTTTTTCTCCCTCATACAAACGTTTACAAGTGTTGTTGTCTTTTTCTTAATAACAAATACCGAATAAGATTCAAAACAAACAGCATTTTTATGAAAAAATATATTTTATAGTACTTACGAATGAAAAGTGATGCCGTCGGTTTTATTTTTAGTACTTGAGCAATTTGAGCACTTTTTAAAACAACACTTAGGCATTGTTTTATCATATAATCGCAAAATTTTAGCAATATTTCTTTTTGACGTTCACATGTACGTCATTTGCATGTCAAGTTGTGACTAAAGCGATTGTGGCCTTGGGCCACAATTTATGCGGATCACTTTTGTGAGGTTAGTGCCGTATCTACCCTTTTTGTTTTAATCTAAGGGTAGGTACCGAGGACGCTACGATAGTTATAGATATATTTGCGTCATAAATATAGTTTACTAGGTATACCATATAAGTACGCATTATATAGTATATAGGAAATTAAATTTATGTTGTATTGTAACCAGCAGTTCAACAGTGTTTTTATATTTTAATAAGAGAAAGTAACACGAGTTAGGTAAAACTTACCAAAAAAAATACATTATTTACTATAGAGTATGTATTTTTGCATTAGCATCCATTACTGGATCAACATCTTCACCCGCGTTGTCTTTCCCACTCCTGTGTTAATTTTAATTACATAACTTTGTTTTAATAATGTTATTATTTTACCAAGGTGCAAACAATTATAAG